ATATCAGGCTTAATTAGGGAACTGGAGCAAGATCCAATTCCCAATCAAGGCCCCTCACCACGTCAAGGGAAACCTCCCTTGGGGGGAAACTCGCTCAAAAAAATCGACAAAAAATCGACAGTGAGGCTCTATCTCAAAAAACTCTTAAGTAGGGCACTTGTAAAACAAGTTCCACTGTACCAAACGTTATAACATTTTCCCAAATCTTTTACAAAATTGGTGCAAAGGTTTTTATACACGTATATTGCCAGGATGTTCCCCAACTTAACCCCGTGGAACCCGAGCTGTGATAGAATCTAAGTCAACTTCAGATATTATTTCTTTTTGTGTGGTATAAAAATTTAAAGTTTTACATCAAAAAAAAAAAAAAAAAACACTCAGGTACAAAAGAAAGCCACTTAAAGCAACGAATTTCACTGCCAATTATGGGCCGACCACTTCACAGGGGTTTTCCACTGGCGATTCCACCTACCACTCTACCACATCTTCTTTTTATTAAGTCCCCTCCCAAATGTATACTGACTTTTACAAGATTTGGGATTAGGTTAAGTCGCCTAAAATGCCTTTGCAGATAGTGGCTTTCTCGCTCCAATCATACTTCCATAAGCCCTTAAGACAAAGCCTTTTGAAATTTCTCAAGATATTCCAATTTAACTGAACTTCAACTAACCACACCAAATGTAAAATTTTAAGCATTCAAACAAGTCATTTCCTTTTTTGATACAAATTCAACAATTCTAAGTTTTTTTTTCTATTTTACTACAAAAATTTTTCCTGGACACAAAAAAAACTTAAAGGCACTACCCTGGCCCTAAGATGTAAAAGCCATTAAATATTGAAGTTGTTCAGAAGAGGAAACTGAAATTTATTTAATGCAATTTAACAAGGCAAAAAATTTTAAAACCATTTATACACACGTCAAACTGGGAACTTCAAAATTTGAATTTCATTCCCCTTCATTTTTTTTTTTGGGACTGTTTGTGAATATTTGAAAACTCCACCATTAGATCTTTGGGAAATAACCAAGCCATTCAGGAAGCTGGGGAAAGGGTTAAAAAACTGATCAAGGCACTTTAACATGCCAGATGTCCCCAGAATTTTGGGCCTTAATCATACCAAGCGGACCGAACACATCCCTCCAACTGGAAAAAAGGATTACCTCAAAAATATTCCCCATCCCCACCACCCTATAATGGGGAAAAACCACTGGGTGGTGAAAGTTCCAGAATAAAGATCCCCAAATGTTGCGCAAGTGCCTCATTCGTCAAATTGTTATTTTTTTAAACCCTTACATTTCACATTTTATGAGGGAACGGGATGGTTCCCATCAATTCTGAACCAGCCGAGCTGTAGTTCGCACTTTGGCTGCATGCCAGCCACAGTAACAGCTGGTTCACAGCCTCGATCCTCCAGGCAGCCTACCAGGATCTGGAGGCCTGGTCTGGGGGGAGGCCTGGGCTGGTACCGGGAGGGCCCGGTACGGGGGGGCCTGGCCGGGGCCGGGGGGCCGGCCCGGGGCCGGGAGGGCCCCCCGGCCTGGGAACCCCCGGGGGGCCTGGGCCCGGCCGGGGAAAGGGGGGGCCTGGCCCGGCCTGGGAACGGGGGCCTGGGCCCGGCCTGGGAACGGGAGGGCCCGGCCCGGCCGGGAACGGGGGCCTGGCCTGGCCGGACGGGGGGCCCGGCCTGGCCTGGGGAAAGGGAGGGCCGGGCCTGGGGGCCGGAACGGGAAAGGCCTGGGGCCGGCCTGGAACGGGAGGGGGCCCGGCCGGGAGGGGAGGCCGGCCTGGAGCGGGAGGGCCCCCGGCCTTGGGGGCGGGGGGCCTGGCCTGGGACGGGAGGGGGTGGCCTGGGGGGCGGAGGCCGGGGCCCGGGAGCGGGAGGCCTGGCCTGGGAGCGGAGGCCGGGTGCCTGGGAGCGGGAGGCCGGGCCCTGTGGAGCGGGAGGCCTGGCCTGGGAGCGGGGGGCCTGGCCTGGGGAGCGGAGGCCTGGCCTGGAGCGGGAGGCCTGGCCTGGGAGCGGGAGGCCTGGCCTGGGATCGGGGAGGCCTGGCCTGGGACGGAAAGGCCGGGCCTGGTACTGGGGGGCCTGCCTGGACGGGGGGGCCTGGCCTGGTCCCGGGGAGGCCTGGCCGGGGACGGGAGCCTGGCCGGGCCTTTGGTCGGGAGGCCTGGCCTGGGACCGGGAGGCCTGGCCTGGGAGGGGAGGCCTGGCCTGGGAGCGGAGGCCTGGCCTGGGAGCGGGGGGCCGGCCTGGCCTGGGAGCGGGGGCCCCTGGCCTGGAGCGGGAGGCCGGCCTGGCCGGGGAGGGAGGCCTGGCCTGGCCTGGGAGGGGAGGCAGGCCTGGCCTGGGAGCGGGAGGCCTGGCCTGGACCCCTGGGAGCGGGAGCCTGGCCTGGGAGCGGGAGGCCTGGCCGGGGAGCGGGAGGCCTGGCCTGGACGGGAGGCCTGGCCTGGACGGGAGGCCTGGCCGGGGAGCGGAGGCCTGGCCTGGAGGGGAGGCCTGGCCTGGGACCGGGGGCCTGGCCTGGAGCGGGAGGCCTGGCCGGGAGCGGGAGGCCGGCCTGGGACCGGGAGGCCTGGCCTGAGAGGGGGAGGCCGGGCCTTGGGAGCGGGGGGCCTAGCCTGGAGCGGGAGGCCTGGCCTGGGAACGGGAGGCCTGGCCTGGGACGGGAGGCCTGGCCGGGGAGCGGGAGGCCTGGCCTGGGAGCAGGGGGCCCGGGCCTGGGAGCGGGAGGCCGGGCCGGGGACTGGGA